TAATTCTATTTTCTGTAAGAAATAAGTTGTGACCATAAATAATGAAACATTTACTTTAGTAAATTTTGAAGGAAATTCCAAAAGAATTCCCAAATTGCTTCTCATCCATCTAAAAGTTTCAAACACTCATTCATTTAAATATGTATAAGTTAAGTTTGTTATCTTATACACATGCAAAAGGGAAAGTATTAGTCTTATTACTGTACCATCTACCACATAGCTTGGTTATTAATATACTCCAAGACATAATACATAATCACTAACAAATAACTCCTGTTCCAAAAATGTGCTTAAGCACTGTAAGAATATAATACCATAGTCCTGAAATAAGTACAAGAAAATTAATTTACCAGTAAATTAAACATGATGAATCCTCATTAATTTACAAAATGCTGTTCAACAGACACAATGAAGTATGGTTATAATGCTATTTGGAAATTTCTGCCATGATCAATAATGACAAATATCACAGCAGAAACTTTCAAGCAGCAACACAATAAGCATTTGTTTAATCTAATTTTTCCAATACCCAAGCCAAGGCACATTTTTAATGGCATTGTAATGTATTTTGTTTAGAAATAACCTTTGAAATGATTAACTTTAGGTTAAAATTTATTTCATTAAGTTAAAATATAGATACTTGTAAATAAAAGACTCACCCAAGTTTCAGCATATTGATCATGTCAAAGTTCACTACATCAAACACCTTCATTGCTTTATCATCACCCACAGAACAGAGCAAGGCTCCCTCAGAGCTAACTGCAATACTCTCAATAACTCCTATTTAAACAAATCAAATTAAAACAGCCTAGTGAATAGCAGTGCAGTAAGTGTGAACGATTCAAAGTCAAAAAACAAAAAACAAAAGACGGTATTTTAAAAGAAACTTTAGAGTTATTTAAATGAGCACTACTGAAAAAGAAAAACATGATATTCTTACCCAGATGGCTACGAAAATGTTTAACAAATTCAATTCCCTCTTCTATTTTTTTCCAAAACTTAACATGTCCATCATGACTCGCAGTAATAATAAAATCTGTCCTGCATATATAAAATTTAAAAAATTAATTATCAAGAGAGATCCAGTAATCAATCAGTACCCCCAAAATAATCATTCCCTGAAAAACTGTAACAATTTTACAGTACTAGGGATCACTGTACCTTAGGGTCCTTTAACAATAAGATTACTTACAAGCAGTCTAATTTACTTTAATATTTTGCCAAAGTTGATAATCAAATTTCACATTATTTTCATATACAGCAATATTCAATGTCTGTTTTATATTCTATATGAAATATATTTTTTAATTATTTATGTATCAAAAAGACTTTATATAGAATAGTTGCCCCTTATAGCATATAAGGGAATCCTGGTATGAAGTTGTATGATAAGCACTGGATTGGTAACCGCCACATAAGCATTGGACTGTTAATGACTAGTTTGGAGGTTCAAACCCACCAGTCGCACCTTAGAAACCCTAAAAACTTGATGGCACTTAACTACACGACATATAAAACCAGGTACCATTTGCTGAACACTAGTATATTTCATACATGACTTTAATCTTCATAGAAACTCTATTAGGATAGATCTTTTTATCACCAAGGAGTCCTGGTGGCATAGATAGTTGAAGTGCTCGGCTGCTAATCAAAAGGCTAATGATAGTTTGTGTCTTATGAATATTGGTTTTCCTTGCCTGCTACTGTAATATAGACACTTGAGTGGGATAAAAAGGCATGTTGGGAAACATGATTACAGAAAGACTGTAAGCCCATCTTCCACCTATAACTGATTAGAATAGCTAAAAAGGTTCTAGAACTTGCCCGGTGAAATAGGCCACTTGTGGAGCCTTTGCAGTGTATAGGACCTTGGGTGCAATCCTGAGCCCCATCCAGAATGTTCTGAGGTGGGATAGTCCCACTAGAAAGGACAAGCAGAAAAGCCTGGAACAGCTAGAACA